CATTGCTAAAATAAGCTTCAAAACTTAATGTTATAATTATTTTTGAACTATAGTGGAAGGTCAGTCCTTCATCAATTTTTTCTATTCAAGTCTGAAAAGCGAAAATTTTAACACCGTTTTTTCTCGACACACGCGAATTTCGATTTCTTTAAGAATTCATATTACGAACTAGGAATTTATTGAAATACCACACATGACCCTCCTAAAATTTTCTTTTGAGTCAAAACTGGCCGAAAAAAAAGATCCCATGTCATAGTTCCTTCTGAAGAAAATTCGTAAATAGTTTTTAGGTTTTGACTTTTCTGTACCTCGAATTTGTTTAGCTCTTTACTCTCAGAACAAGACGAGTAGTCTGTTGCTGTGCAAGACACAGTAATCTTAGGAAAAAACCCGAAAATTTGTTTCGACTATTAAGGATTTTTGTCTCCAATTTTACCGTCAAGATACGGCTTCCACTTTTTCTTCCATTCGTAAATAAATCTGAATATACGCTTTGGTTTATATATTTGTGAAGTTTTTACTACGTTGGCCACAAGAAAATACCAAAATAGTGTAACCTACAGATTTTCATTCCCCTCGCCGTCCAAAACTGCATCCAGTGGTCAGTGTTGGCATGTTTTAAACAAGGGGTGTTTTAAACATGTTTTAAACACTGTTTTAAACACTTGTTTTTTTTACATGTTTTTTTTTAATGTTTTTTTCTACTGAATCAATTATGAATCACTGGTTATTGAACAACCTTAGCAGGCATCTTTGTTTTCGGTCTCGCGTTGAAGTGGCTGACAATTGGCTTGGTTAGTTGGTTCTGAGAGAACGCGGTTATGTAAACACTCATTACGCTGGTAGCTAATTGAAGTGGCTGACAATTGGCTTGGTTAGTTGGTTCTGAGAGAACGCGGTTATGTAAACACTCATTACGCTGGTAGCTAATTGAAGTGGCTGACAATTGGCTTGGTTAGTTGGTTCTGAGAGAACGCGGTTATGTAAACACTCATTACGCTGGTAGCAAACGACAATCAAGAGAACTTTCGAACAGGGAAGAACAAAGAAGTTCGAAAATACATCGTCGACTTAGCCTTGTACAAACAAGTGGAGGACGCTGTAAACGTTTTGACCCCCATTTCACTCGCCATTGATCTGGTTCAGGGAAATCAAGTGACACTTGCAGATGCTGTTCACGCGTGGAAAAAAGTCCTTGAAAGTTACCGGAGTCTCGAAGGAGAAGGAAGAGAATGGTTAGCAGCCGCCGAAACTAGGTACAACAAGAGTGTTACTGCAGTGTTTTTTGTTGCCCATTCTCTGCACCCGAAGTACCTTGGCAACAATCTGACGACTTCTGAATGGAACGAGGCAACAAACTGGGTACGCGAAAACAGAGCTTCCTGCATGTCGGAGTATTTACAATTTATTGGAGGAACTAAAGATGTAATCCAGCAAGTGTACGCTATTTCTGCGAACTGTGAGCTGGGAAATTTCTACAAGTCACAGGAAATTCTCGGAAATCTGGAAAAAGAACTTGTGGAGTTGGCTGTGACTCTGATCAGCATTGCTCCGTCGTCGGCCGGACTGGAGCGGGTATTCAGTTCAATGGGTTTTGTGCATTCTGATTTGCGCAACAGGCTAGCACCGGAAAAGGTCGGAAAACTAGCCTTCTGCTTGCGAGTTTTAAACGAAAAATTTTGATAAGAATTTTCGAATAAATTTTTCGTACTCCAGTTTTTAACACTTGAGATGTCGTGGGAGCAATTATACGTTGATCTGGGAAAAAAGGTGTTTTAAACATGTTTAAAACGTTTTAAACGTTTAAAACGTTTTTTATGAAAAAAAAACACAATTTTGCCAACACTGCCAGTGGTTAAGTGATTGTTATTTGCAAAGTATATTCAATTTAGTAAGCAGGCTCTATTTAGGGTTCATGTTTCAGTTGATTAATTTTTTTGTACTAATGAACTGTTCAAATTACGGAGGGATTATTTTTCCTATTTACTGTTTTGGCGATTGAAAAAACAATATCAAGTACCAGAGTTATTATTTTCGAAGTTAAGGGGTGAAACATGAATGATAGAAGGGATCGATTTTGTAAACTTATTTCAGGCGCGACCGATAAGGACAAGCAGTAAGAATTAGCAAGTGCAACCAGCATAAAATATTCTGAGCTAACATGAATCTATGTTATGATGCCATTTCTGGGTTCCCATGAAATCTTAGTGTCGTTTGCGATAACATAATCATCATAAAGTGCAGTCCAAATAATTGATCCCATTGTCAAATAACCAGATATACTTTTCAAATAATATGTATGTCTTTCATAAGTTTACATTCACTGAATTTATTGAAGCAAATGTCTTGAACGGTGTTGACGATATCTTTCATTACTACTTGATGAGAAATCATTTTTCGCAAAAAAAATTAAATCAAATACTTAAAGTAAGCGATATTATGATTTTGACTTGAAAATTTAGCTTTAACTGCAGCTTGACTATATGAAAAATTGAACAACTTCGTCCAGGGTTTAAAAATACTGAATTCTTAGAACCAAACATTGCACATCATTGGCAATGAAGAACTGATAATGTCAAGAAAATGGAAAATTACCAAAACTTATCTTCTTATTTGACAACAAAAAAATGAAAAAAAAAATGATACACCGCAACAAAAAATGAAAAAAAAAAATACCTATGTTGAAAAAAAGGTGAACCAAAATTTTCGTATAACTCGATGAAGATCACATAGGGCCCAGCTAAAGCTGGATGTCAGTGTTTCATATTTTTTGAAATTGCTATACTGATGCGGTACAAAATGCTAGGATAGTTTCTAAAGATCGGTCAAATTCAAAAAGTTGATTTTCCGAAATCCATTTCTTTATTCTGCTAAAAGCAGCCCGTGGTCGGTAAAGTAGAGATTCCCAAAATCGAGTTTCTCGATTTTAACACTTAACCTGAGAATTTACACAATAATTTTCGAGTAGAGACACAAAACACGGTTAAATCTTCAAAACGTTCCCATTGAAGGCTATCACTTTTTTCAAAAAAAAAAAACTGGGCGTCGATTCAACTTATGATACCAGATTTGGCAGGATAGTTACCGAGAAAAGTCCAAAAAACGGTCAACATATCATATAATTCAAATTTCCGTGAATCATATTTTTTGTTTAAAAAATTTGTGAGTGGCCGCAAAAGCAGAGACATTCAACAAACTTGTAATTTCGATTGAAACTTAAAATCCAGATTTGGCAGGATAGTTCAAAAAAAGCTTTAAAAAACAGTCAAAACACCAATGTTACCTTTTCCGAGGGCCATAATTTTTACTTTCAAAAAAATTGGACGTCGCATATGCAAAGGAGTGTCTCAAAACCCGTGCTTTGGATTCAAACCATTATCCCAGATATGAGAGGGTATTTTTCAAAAAAAAATCGTAAAATTTAGAAAAACGCCCAAAAAATGATTTGCCCGAGGACGATAACTTTCTTTGCAAAATTATGCAGCAGAGATTCGCTTTACTAGTAATTTCGATTGAACCCAAAAACCCAGGTTTGGCGGGGTAGCTCTCAAGAAAAGTCAAGTTTGAAAAAACGGTCAAAAATTCAAATTTTTAGAGTTTTCCGAGGGCTATAAACTTTAGTGTCAAAAAAATTTGGCGTTGCAAAGGAGCTTTCCACAACCTGTTCTGAAATTGAATCCAACATCTCAGATAAGTGAGTTTTTTTTCGGTAAAACTCGTAAGTATAGGAAAAAAAACGCCAAAACATTGACTTTTCCGAGGGCGATAAATTTTTGTGTGAAAAATTTTGTTGAAAGGCCGCAAATGCAGAAGAAATTTAACTAGCCTGTAATTTCGATTGAACTTAAAAACCCAGGTTTGGCAGGGTAGCTCTCGAGAAAATACAAAGTTTAAAAAAAACGGCCAGAAAACCAAAACTTTGATTATTTCGAGGGTCACAAAAATTTGGGCAAAGTCCCCTATGCAAAGGGGCTTCCCACAATCCGTGGATTGAGCCCAACGCCTCAGCTAACGGAGGACATAATTCGGTGAAATTCATAAAATTTAGTAAACCAACACTCAAAAAATTGACTTATCCGAAGACGATAACTTTTTGGGTTAGAAAAAAATTGTGAGTGGCCGCTAATGCAGGGGAGTTTCCCAGTACCCGTTATCTCCATTGAAACCAATACCTCAGATTAAGGAGGGTAGTTTCCAAGAAAAGTAAAAAAAAACCAAAAAAAGGTCAAACAAATCAAAAATGTGACTATTCCGAGGGCCATCATTTCAAGTGCGAAAAAATGCGCGTAGCCGCCAATGGATAGGAACTTTTTAAATCCGTTCTATTCATTGATTCCAAAACTCAAATTTGGTAGGTCCGTTTTTGAGAAAATGAAAAAATATATATCGGACAAATAATCCAATCAATTTTATGGAAGGATGCAGACAAAGTGGTAAAGCAAAAAGAGACCAGGGGAGTATTCAGGCACACAAGGGTGTAGGCGGCCTGTCTATGCATACCCTGTTTTGAAAATCTGTGAAAGGGTTTTCGAGAAAAAAAACATTTTTTGTGAAAATTGATAAAATTTTCCAAAGCGTCTCAAAAAATAAGAAACCCATTCGTGAACAGTTTCGTAATACCTGTTTTTAACATGCAGTAACTCTAAACAGAGATGTCAAGCAACACATTGGAAATTCAAATTAGAAACTCGACAACTTTAAGAAGCGGAAACAAGGCCGACATCTTCGAGCAGACACCAGTTGAGCCGAAAAAAAAATCGGATTTGGTATAAACCTTTAAAAAGTTTCAAGACCTTCTGACACTACTATGTAGTAACTAGTACCCACCCAGTAGTTAATAGTACCTCAGTACCCGCCCAGATAGTACCATAAGTGATTCAGCTGATTTTGTTAAATTAGATGCTAACCCGAAAAAAAAATCTACAATCCGATTTGATAACGCTTGCTAATCGCAAGTGTAGTTATTGATTATGGTTGCTTGCTATTTCAAAACGATTTGTTTACAATATATTCAATTTTCGATCAATATCATCAACCATTTTTTTCAATTCTGATACAATACTTTCAGTCTCTGGAGTAACATGTTCAAAAAACATAGACTCGACAGCATAAAAGTTCTTCAAGTTTTTCAATGACCCAGATATTTCACCCTTCAAATCTTCCGGAAAGTCGTTGCCAACACTTGAATTGTAGCTTTCGAAACACTTCAATAATTTCTCAGACTTTTTCACGCACTTCATAAACAGTTCAAAGTCGGCATCAACTTTTGGCATGTTGGTCATTTGTCGGAGAGCTTTTACATAAAATCGTATCCCTTTTTCTTGGTCGGCTATGGAATCGGCGCTCTGAAAACAAACATCTCCATAGCACTCCCATACTTCGTATTTTGTGGACACTTTAGAAGTAACAAAGCCCATAAATTCTAGAAACAGTACCTTTTGTCTGGGCCATGAACTTTTGTCCATTTTTTCTTTCGATTCAATGAATAATTTAGTTGTCATTTGCAATGCAAGGATGTCCAATTTTCGGTCTTTAAGTTCCAGTAGCCTTCTGATACATCTTATCGCATCATTCACTTGTTTCAAAGTTACACTTGTGATCAAAAAATTCTCCCAAATTTGCCAGTTATCAAAACTTAGCTTAGCTGCCTCAGAAAATGCTCGATGAGCTTTTTCCATGTCTTTAACGTTTATGAAGACAGCTCCTAAATTACTCCATGCTTCAGCATTAGTGGGTTCTAGCTTGACAAATCGTTGAAAACTTCGAAGCGCAACTTCCCATTTCTGTGTTGTCATAGCACAACATCCTAACGAGTACCACACAGCGGGTTGCAGACCGTTCAACTCGAGGGACTTCTCAAAATTCTCAATAGCAAGGTCCATTTGCTTCGCTCCGCAATAGAACACACCAAGAGATCTATACGCTTTTGAGAATTTGTTATTCGTCAGTTCGAGGGCTTTGTGATAACATGAGGGGTCGCTTTTTAGATCACCAAGAAGACACCATAAATTTGCAGTTGGTTGGACCTCTAGACGTTTTGTAATTAAATCTGTACCCTCTGTTCTTCTATCCAACCTCACATAACAGGAAGCTGCAATCTCCCACATTTCAAGCTTCAAATATATCTCCAAAGCAGTTGCCGTACATCCGAGCTCAAACAAAATATCTGCATATTGTCGCTCAGTTTGCCATCTGCTCGGCCATGGAAGCGCGAAGAAGGCGACAGATTTATGGTCTTCCTGTGACGATAGAGAATAGCAGTTTTGTAGATCCTCCATTTGCATGAGTAGTCTGTCAAGATACCTAATGTGTTTTCCATCTATACCTGAACGTTGAAAGAGTGCGTAGTTTTGAATTGGATAGACTTTCGATTTGAAGTTCACAATTGCATTGATCAAAGCTTTACACTCGTATTCTGTCGAAGTATCTCTAGCCATGTGCTTTAGGTGGTTATATAACTTGAGACAAACAACAACTTGCTGTTCAAGGCAAAGATCTGGATTTTCGGTTGCACTTGGATTCATAAACTTTGTTTCAGGCAGCAAAGTATCATCATCCAAGGCTCTGTTTTTGGGAAATTCGCTGCAAATTTTATCGTTCGAGTAAGTGGATTCGAATTCTTTAGTTATGAGTATTTTAACAAAAAGTTGGGAAAGAGGATCTTTCTGGAACTTTGTGTTGACTCCTAACTCTCCGGCAAAATTCATTAAAATCTTCGACTCTTCTATAGCTTTTGATAAATAGTCTGTGGCCTCACGATGAAGATAAAACATGAAACAAGTCTCACACAACTGAGCATACAGAAGCACCCTTTTGGACTCGGAAAAATTGGAAATATTAGCTTCTATGATTGGAAGCTCTTCAAGAAATTGCTCTCTTAATGTCATAGCGGCGCTATCAAGTACATATTGCCACACTTTCAAGAGACTTATTTTAGCGACAGCCAATTGCCACTCGTAGTCAAACCCTTTCAAACTGTCTGAATACAAGACTCGATGACTGAGATAAACCAACCCAGGTGCCTCGCATAGTTCGTAAGCAGGCACTGTATCAACTGTCAACAGTTTCAAAGCAGATGAGCTGGATAACAAAGTGACCAGATATTCGTCCAGGTTAAGACTCGACACTCCAGGTCCAGTCCAATTAAGTTGAACAAACGCATCTATCATATTCATCGCAACTACAAATGGTTTCCGAGATTGCAGAATAACTTCGGTCACCTCGTCCATGTCGCATCTTACGTCGAACTTTAAAGTGGAAAGAATCCACTCATTTGAAATATTAATTAAGTCGTTAAGACTCATTTTCCGGACTGAAAAGAAAATAAAACAAATTGAAGATTTTAAATTGTACATAAAAGCGAAAGGAAGCTTTGCAACACTTAAGATACAGCACAAATATAGCATGACAAACTGACAGTCAGAAAATGAGACGAAGGCCGCACAAAAACACATTTAACTCGATGACCCAGCCTATTGCCAAGAAATTTATGAAAAACCCAAAAACAGAGAAAAAACTGTTTCTCAGTATAGAACTACGCTACGATTGTTGAAAAGACATCATACCACTTGTTTAGTAAAGTTCGACGTCAAAGAATAAAAATCCAGACACAACTGGCTGGATTGCTTGCATCACGCTCGCTTAAATAAAACTTCCAGCTATTAAGCTCTATCAAATATTTTGTATAGATATGCGGGTCAAAAACAGTTGCTATACCTTGCACCTAAAGTTCAAAACATGCGAAAGAGAATTCGTCTATAGTTTACATTAATGCTAGTAACTCCAACAATTGGCTCGTTTCTCTGGTCACAAAAAAATAATATTTAACTAATTCTACATTCATATCAATTTTAACATATCAAAACGTAAGCATCTTCTTTGACGTAGGCGCGATATATGATTATTTACAGCAAGTTTAGGCGACTTAAAATCATTCAAATTTTCAAACGCTTTCTTGAAAGTTTTTGAAACTTGCATAAGCAGAGCATCTTCATGGTTCATACTTGCGCATATAATTAGAAAGATTTTCTACAGTCAAAATGACAAAACTCATCAGAAACTTGCTGTTACTGTTACTCAACGCAAGAGTCATTTGTTCGTGCACAAGTAAGTTTCCGAGCTAGTTATCCTCAATAATTATTTTTGGAAAAATCTAATTCTTCAGCTGGATCTTTCATCCAATCACACAAAAAAATCCAGCCAATCATTGAAAAAATATTAAAACCGAATTGACTCAATCTACTCGGAATAAGTCCATTTTTTGTCCATACGCTTTAAGAATTCAAAAAAATTTAGATAAGCTTAAGGAATTCAAAAAAACTGAGATCAACTGCTAAAAAAACAATACCCTGTGATGAACTTTGACCACAACTTTCATATTATACACATTTCGACCAAACTTTGCAAACCTATGAGAGCAATTTTTTTAAAAATCGCAATGCGTTAAACCTCATCGTCATGAGCTCACCATGAGCAACATGGTTAACTTCAGGTCGTCCCTCTTCATTCAGTGTATCGGGTGTGAACAGCAGTCAGGCGACCGTTTCTTGGAACTCCATTGCGGGTGCATCCACGTATGACTTCAGTTCCTCCATTGACGGATCCACACTACATTCAGGACTCACTCAAAACTCATACGTGTAAGTCACTAGCCCTAAATTTGCACGAATATTTATGCGAAATTTACTAATTCATTTCGCGAAGCAAAAAACAACGATCACACTCCTATTTTGAAACGAAAGCGAAGCTATTACTATGTGCCGGAATCAAACCTCCGACCTGAAGATTGGGAGCCCGACTTCCTCACATCACCTTATCTAGCAATAAAGCCACTACACGAGCTTTAAAATAGCGGATGCTATGTATTGAAGCAAAAGCACCACCCAAAGAGCACTTTAATTTGCGAGTCAAGTTGGAAAAAATAAATAGAGTTCTCAATATAACACTACGCTTGCTGGCTCGATTGTTCCGATACAAAAATATAATCCAGTTAGGCCAAAACTGCGATTTCAAAAACAAGTTGGCACGATCGAGCCATTATTTAACACACTTATGATTTGTGAATGCTCATTTGACCAACTCAAACCAGGCAAAGAACCCTTTCTGATAAACCAGAGAAAGCGATAACTTTTTAAAAAATTTTCGCTATCAAATAAAATAAGTACTTCGAAAAACCTAGGACAAGATTCCATTCATGGTTTTTTTCCGACTAAGAGGAGAATGAAAAACGAAAAAAAAAAACAATTTTAAAACACCCAAAATGAAACTGCACTATTACCGGAAAACAGCGAAATGATTTTGAATGTTCCCGAAGAACAGGTCCCGGCCGGATCCCAATCTTCGATCTGTGTTACCCCTGCCTCTGCATCATATGTGCAAAATAAAACGCTGAATTCTTTGAGTATAGACCAAGCTATTACATGATTCAAAAATTCTGCTAAACAAAAAGTCTAAGATACGGTTTGATACCAATAATTAAAAAGCGAGGGACTGAGGAAAATAAACTCGTACTACAACCAGAGCTGAAGAAAGTTAGCTCCCCGCAGAAACCCTACTGAATCTATGAGAAACCCTACTGAACCTATGTTTTAAGGCTTGACAACTTGATTGGAGGGACCAGGTACGACATCACTGCACGTGTGGAGGCATTCTGCAGTGGCACAGCCTCGGGTCCATTCTCGGATGTGATCATAATCACCACAAGTGAGATTGTGTCCATAAATTTAAACGGCTTATAGATATGAAATGGCAAAAATAAGAACACGCGGTCATGAACACGAATGGCTTGAAGTGAGAGTGCAAATTCGAGGTATTTGTTTCAGTTCCTGAGATACCTACGGCTGAGATCAACATGGTGGATCGGGGTGCCATCAACATCGTGATGAGGAGTGAGGGTCCCGTGGATACATTCACCATCGTCAACTCAGTGCTGCCGGGTGGATTCCACACCAGCCCTGAGAACTCACAATTCATCAGCGGACTGAATCGAGGATCAACCTACACCTTCCAGGTAAAGCTTTCAGACCCTTTAATTCGTCAGTGTTGGTTTATTGAAGTATAAATAAAAAACTATATAATGCGACTATCCTATAACGTCTAATCTTATATTTCGGCTTTCGTATAAAAACGTATAATCGTTTAACTTGAAATCAACATCCTAACTAAATAAGAGCAATCGATTGCTTTTGTTTTTAAGGCTCATTAGATTGTTTTTGCAGCCTGATTATCCGGAAAAACTCCGATTGCTTTCAGAAAACATTTTATGCTGATCTTTAGCCTCCCCTTATATCAATCAATCTTGCAATAATCAATGAAAAATCCTTGTCGCTCAAAAAAGAGCAGCCAATTATCGGTTTATTTTTATAATCATATAACTTATCGTATAAACCTGATCTCTCATATAGTCGTATAATCCTATATCGTATAACGGTTTTTCCATATATCGTATAACGTGTACAAAAAAACTGGTGCTGCTATGTAATTTTGGATCAAATTAACGATTATGTTAAATAAGTCCGTGTTCTACGTAAATTTTCTGCCTTGTTTGTTACACATGCGAAATTAAGAACTACGCGGAATAAACAAGAAGCCTTTTTTGAGGCCACAAACTTATTTGTTATTTTAGATATACTCCACCTTGAATGGGGTCAATTCGGAAAAACTTCTACTGGAACACAAAGTACCCGAAGGTGAGATTTATTGGCATAATCTATAAATCCTACGCAAGCATGTCGTTCGAGGCTGCGATATCCCGTGTTTTGATGCTTCCTCTATTATTATTACAGCATCTCCGCTCAATTTGTTGTTCTGAATAACAAGCAGTTTCGTTTTCTTATGAGCTAACTAAGATCGAAGTTTTGCCACAATCAATTATCATTTCTAAACTACCTCAATATGGACACTAACTTCAAGTCCACTTCCGGGAGAACCAAGTTTCAGCGATAAAAAATATTTCTGTAGACAAAATTGCTGGGATCAATGCATGGACATTTGCCGCCATAATCATCACGATCATGTTCCTGCTTCTGATTCTGATCATTTTTCTGGCGGTATTCGTCATCTTCTATAAACGGAACAGACACGAAAAGAGGAATGGCGACGATTCGGATAGTCAAGACAGTTTGAAAATTTCAAAATAATATAACTCATAATTTGATCAAATGAACTGTTGATATTAATAACTGCACATACTTCTTAACTACCCAATTCCTTGCGAGCACTATTTCAAACCCACTCAAAACCAGACCTCAAAATGGGTCTAGGACAACAAGCCGACGGGACTTCAGGCCGAAATTTAAACTTTACAAGCACCTCAAATTACAATTTTTTCATCTGTAAAACGTTGCTTTTCAAAATTTCAGGCAAGTTTAGTCCATAATAAGCGTTATTCATGACAAGGAATCACTTAGGATTGGCATTCGTTAACAATTTCAAACGGTTTTTGAAATTCATAAATTATAAACAAGAAAATTGCCTTCAAACCGTGTTTTATATTTCAACTTTCCTAAACATCATTTGGAGGCCTAAATTTTATGAAAAAACGAATAACTACTGAAAAAGATCATAAAAGTAGGAAATTCTTTAAAAAGATTTTCAAATGAATCCTACTTCATCACTTGATGAGAAAACTTTCGGCTTGAAGTCCCTAATTTTACGATTCGGCTTGAAGTCCCGTTGGCTTGATGTCCGGCACCCCCTCAAAATATGTAACAGAGGTAAAGGAAAAGCTTTGTGAAAAGCAACGGAAAAATTTATTAATGTAAGAACTATTATACATTTTGGTTACGTAGCAGTATTTAGACAACCGCGTATTCAGACTCGTCAGTATTTAGACAAATACTGTATTAACCAATCAGAATCGAGACAAGGAAGAAATGAATAAATAATAATTATTTATTTCGTAAATATGCGTTCTCATCTCGATTCTGATTGGTTAATACACCATTTGTCTGCTTACTGACGAGTATGAATACGCGGTTGTCTAAATACAGACCGCACTCCATACATTTCGTATTGTTTTTACGAGTAACTACCACCAAAATATCAAACTTCAAAAATGCTCATTTAACAACTCAATAGCGCCAAGAAGTCATTGGAACAACAAGCATTTAAGGAAAACTTGTCGAAAAAACAACACCTATTACTTTGAATTAATTATCTTTAGGAAGTATTAAATCCATGCAGTTCAAAATAATGTAATTGCATTACATTGCACTTGGTAAAAACAAGTACCAAAATTACCTCATTTAAACGTTTTCGTCATAAGGAATCATCAGAAATCCAGAAGATATCAGTTTGATGACAATGCAAACGTAAAAGTAACACACAGGAGGAAAATAACAATATTATATAACATTACGTTACAAGATGTTCAATAGAAAAACAGAAATCAATTTTTTATGTCTCGAATAGTGCTCAGAATCATAAAATCTGTTTTTATTACTCAGGAACCAGCCACAGATAAGCCAGGTATTGCAATGGAGCAAAAAAAACAGATAGGAAAAAGCTACATTGTTGTGTTGTTGTGATAAACTTATTAAATAGTTTGCTTTCAGGTTAATGTTTCTCCGGAGTAGCCGTGGTTGCTCCGTGTAAATGTATAGACGCTATCATCAATTCAGAACGTCTTCATCTAGAAACCTGCTGATTGCAGACTCTCAAGTAAGGAATCTATTTTTTCCGAATTTCAACATTTTGTCTCTACCTGGAGCTCGGATTGGCAGTGTGATCGACTTCTTGCCGGAAAAGGGTAAATACGATCTAATTGTACTTTTCATTGGTGGTAACGACGCATACGAACGCAACGTACCATCTTCTGTCTCCGAACAGGATATAGCCAACGAGATGTCAAAATTAGCAGATGAATTATCCCTACGCGCCCCAAAAATCTTTATCCTTGGCATTCCACATCGCGGTGAGTACAGAAAGAGAGCATCAGACGTGAACGGATTTCTGAGAACAAAAAAAGGAAACTGGAAATACAGAGGTCTGTGCGACAAAATTTACTGCATATACCATCTTAAAGAAGACGAAGTCCATCTAAACAAAGAGGGTCTAAGAGGTATCCAGAGCATCCTGAAAAACAAGGTTTTGTACACAAAATACTCAGACTCGTGCAATAGAGAAGGTCACCTGGCAACATTTGAGTGTCGATTTCGGAATTGCAACTGCACCTATTAAGTAAGTTTGTAACATTCGCCCGGAAGATACATATCGACGGATAACAAAACTAAGTCTTAAGACGACTGGCTAGCGTCTAAACAGAGCTTTGCATGTTTTTCACCGTCTCTACCAAGCCAGTACTTTTCGGTGGTCTTTTCCAACATCGGGTCGACAAAAACGTTACTATTCTCCGGCTTCGACCAGAACGCTCAAACTAACTGAATTACATGCAAAAATAGTGAGCTCATGGCTGGGTCTCAGTATCCCCAGACCACGAGATCACTCCTAAAAACAGGGCTACTACTTATTATATTACTATTGTTTTTGTTCAGTAGATAAAAATCATCATCTCCATCGAAGATGGATCAACCCTTTCCCCCCCAACTCTTAGCACCTCATCCTTGTCAAAACTAATTCAAATATCAGTTAAATTCAGGTCAGGACATGAAAGGATGCTAAAAGTTTATGTGAGTTAATAAAAGTCTCCGTCCCGAGACCCTTCCGGATTCTTGAATCTGCTGAATCAAGCTCCTTGTTCTTGATTTCTTGCTAATCCGGAAGGCTGGCTTCTTACCCTTCACCGTTGTTCGCAACGGCCTTGCAACTATTGTAGCAGCACAATAGTTGCAACTCGGAACGCTCTCTGCTATTCTGTAGTTCGTTGTCGTTTTCCAATCTCGATTTCGTACTGTTCGCAATCGCAGATAAAGTTGTTCTGTTTTTCACTCGCTTTTCGTTAAAATGGCCGTTTCAGCATTTCTCAGAAATGTGACGTCATCATTCGAATTTTTGAAAATTTAAAATACTAGAATATTCTAGCCCTCACCGTTTGGCTAAACGTTCCAATAACGTCGCTAATCCTTCGAAATCATCAACTCGGAAGGCTTACTGCTCAAAATTCGAATCCTGCATAAATTGCATTTTGGCCATTCTGGTCGAATGTCACATACTCCCCGGACAGTCCGGTCAATGTCCTCATTGAATCGCGCAATGTTCTAAATGGTTACAGTGTCATCGAACAGAATTTACAAAATGCACGAAATTACTTTTATCTACGTCACATCGACTCACTGCAGAATATAAATGGCATCATACTACATCACTATAGCCTTCAAATTCTTTCATTAATCTGCACATTGAGGATATGACTTAAGATAAAACATATTTTCTGACTTCCAGTGTCAATGTCCCGATTGAAACTTTTTCTCCTAGATTTAAAAGGTGTTGGCTTGCAGGACAGTCCTGCCAACCAACAAGCTAAAATTATCCTACTATGCTCCTTCCCTTCGGAAATCTTGCTTGTTTATTGCCCTGAATATTAAAACTAAGAAACTTTGTGGTTAGAAGGAACAATGCAACAACCTCCCTCCTCAAGAAGCTACTCAAGTTTTTCATGTCACCACAAAGTGATCAGTCTTCCTAAGTGATTAAAAACAATCATGCAGGCTGGAATATTTAAATATACTCTTCCCTCAAGCCTTTCTAAATAAATAATAAGTGAGTGTCTCTAAAGCCACTTCAACTAAAACCAAAATGCAAATTTATAAATGCAACAATTTCAAAACTCAACTAAATGTTTCAGTTTTCAATTACAACTTGGTTGCTTGGTTTCTCACTTGAGTTTTTCAGACACATAAAACAATTCTGAGTTTTAACTTTTCTTCATCATCCCTTTGTTCTCTTCTTTTTTCGTCGTTTAGAAGTTCTAAAACTTCTAAATTCTTCTAATTTTATTTCTTGCCGCCCCTTGTTTTCTCGACCATTCGTCAATGCTCCATTTCCTCCTCCTGTGACACTGACTCCGCACTCTCGGTTTCCGTGTCCTGTAGCACATCATTGGCTATCCTGACGCTGCTGGAAGCCGTCCTCCAACACTTCTGCTCTTCTACCCTCTGTTTACAGCAAGGTAGGGGATCCACGTTTGATTCTCTGTTTCTACAGAAGCTGTTGTGGAGACACAACGTCACGTTTCTCTCCAAATCTTCTTTCAGCATCTCTGCCTTCTCATTTCCACTACGCTCGCTCGTCCTGGAAATTCTTTTCACAGCGGTGGTCACTGCATTCCGATGGGTCACGAAAGCTCGCTTGAAAGCTCCTGCCCCAATGTCCAGCTGATATTCACTGTACACTCTGCCATGTTTCGACATATGCTTTTTCGCATACTCGTACAACCATGCAGTCATGTTAGCTCTGAACCATGGCATCAATCGTTTTCTTGCCCATATCTTCTTCACTTCCATCGGAATGTTTAGAACTTTGCACATTGTCTCAAAAAGATCTAAATCTTTTAGACAATCTAATTTCTGCAATTGTTCTCTCGTCGGTGCCTCCTGTCTATTATTTTCTCTCACATGAGCTTCCAGCCATCGTATCGCCATCATAACTCCCACTATCACTATTGTTATGGGCTGTGATGAATCTGGTAAACCCATGGAGAGCAGCTCTCCAGAGTCCCAGATCAACACCAAATTACTACGCTTGGGATACCACCAGGTCTGCAGCAAGCAGTGGCAAGGAAACTCGTCATGTGTCAACATGATACTCCTCCAATTGCGTTTTCCTGAAGCTTCCAGCAATGGTTCCACTTCCATCATCACTCGGTGGATTTCATCATTCTCATCTACTGCATTGTAATCTGTGACAGTTGATCCTCTCTGTTTCTGTTTTTCAAAGTCACTGAAGTTCCCGCTCACATATCCCATGAACTTCTTTCCTAGTATTGACTCCAACTCCTCTTTGGTTCTCTCTGGAACTGCTGAGAACATCTTACATAGTAACTCGTAAGACTTTTCAGACATTCTCGCCAATCTCACGCACTTTGGCACTGAGAAAGCTTGATCCACGATCGTTCTTGTACTCTTCACGTCCACAGCCACGAAATGTACAGGGTATCTGCTCTTGCACATTGGAGCCAACGTTGAACCCACCAAATATCGTGCTCCTGATGGTCTACAATAAGTTTCGCTGTGTCTGATGTTCATCTCTGTTTCGATTGCTTCCCTCCATTTTCCTATATACTTCTGCTCAGTCTGCAGAACTCCTGGGAATACTTCTACGCTGATGGCTGTGACCATCTCATGTTTCTGTTCTAGATTCAATAGTGACTCTAAAGAACCAAACATGCTGTAGAATCCTAGTGCTGTCACTAGATTCACATCGGTTCCTCCATGGCAATCTGCTATCAGTTCCGTTTCCGTTCTTGCTTTCATCACTACATTTCCAAACAATACTGTCAACTGCTTGTGTTGCTTCTCCAGGGTTTTCACACAGTCTAGACTTCCACAAACGTGACCCTCTAGTCCACAGACTTCCGCCAGACAGCTACCAGGTTTGACCCAGTCTTCTGGTCCCCAGCCAGGCAACTCCACTCTATCTTCTCCGTTGCTCTTAGAGGCTGTTATCATCACATTATATATGATGTTGAGGTCACGCAGGTTACAGTCCGCATTCAGTTCCCTCTGTATGTCCTGTGTCGCCCGTAATATTGAGTCAGCGTTGGGACTAGGACACCATGATGGCTTCATCAATTCCCACACTGCCATCAAGCTCGTTCTCAGTAATTCATCTGAGAATCCCAACCCAAATTCCACTCTCTTGTCGGATTTTGGTACTGAAGGTGCAGTCACCTCTTCTTCCAAGACCAATCCCAATTTGGCCTGTGGATTGTTAACGCTCTTAGTCGTCACAATTCTGGACGTCCAGAATCTTAGTAACACCGCCTGCTCATAATCAAAGAAGCAATCGCGTATGTCTTCACTCAGGAAAGGATTGTATGCTATCCCTGTAATCCCGGACACATAGCTATATGACTTCTTCTTGATCGGTCCACAGTATTCACTGGATTTCGGCAATGCTCCCATAGATTCTTTAGTGAGCCTCAACTCCTTGTTTGAGAATCTCCTGATCTCGTCTATCGTTTTCATGGGTTCCAATTCTTCAGGTTCTTTCATGTTCACCCTCATCGGTTTACTTTGCTGCATATCCAGCAGTGCTAGCAAGAATAAGGCTTTCGTTCGCTCATCGCCTTCCCTCAACATTTTAACACAAGTGTTTAATGCAGGTACTGAAATCTGCTCTATCAGGAATCGAATGAAACAGAGAGCGTCTCTCCGCTTCGCACACGCTACTGCTGCTCCCTCCTGGACTATCAGATCCCTCAGATTCGTCATAAGGAAAACCTTTTCTTCTTTTGATCTCTTTCTTTCTTCTGAATCATATTCTTCGCGAGTCAGTCCCATCATGCACCAGGCGAACCTGAGTTGTAACTCTGTCCTTACGTAAGGTACTGCCACGAGAGCATGTATTCTTGGCGTAGTCCTCATTTCTTCTTCGAAATACCTCAATACTATTGCTTTCCATGGAAGGCTCACTAACTGCTCG